TCTAGCAGTTATATAGAACTCATTTGAATTTTCATGGAAATTCATTTGAGAATTACAAGGAATTATGAATCCTAATGATTATTCTCAGCATGGTGGGGGAGAGCATGGACTAAATTTCTCTGGGAGCAGCTGCCAGCCAATCAGCGTAATCCTGTTACCTCGTCTTGGAATTTTTGAAGCAATTATCGTGGTAAGTCAACCGAGGCAACACACATGCCTAACGAGATACAACAGCAACGGCAGCAATGGCACCTGATTGATGCTGTCACCTGAATGTGAAAAGCCCACAAGCGGAGCTCATCCTCGTGTGCTCATAAATCACAAACGAATCGGCCACGAATGCCACAAATGACTTCATTAAAAAGCCTCTCCACCCACTCCCAAAACAGAGCAAAGGCGTGGGTATTGGAGCAGGCCCAGTCAAGTGTGTATAGGGATAAGAGTAAGTAGAAGCATGTTGAAAACGAGTGGAAAATGGAAAGTAAAAAGTTCCCTTTCCGTCGGCTTCTGCCTCTATCAATGTGGGGGCACAAACACATCCGCTGGCGCATCCCAGCGTTAAGGCCAAACAACCCAAATTGGATGGGAACTACTGAACCATTGTCTATAATAAACAATGGGTAAGGGGAAACTTTGCCTAAGGTTAGCCCTGAACTTTTTCTGGTGACATTTTGCTGCCTTGTAAACAATAATTGTTGGAAATCTCTGCTGGAGGGCAGGAGCAACTTTTTCCCCTCCCCGAAAATCTATTCAAATCACAGCACAGCAAAGGCCTAATTGAAGGACCAGTGTCTATGCCATGTCCTGGTCAATCAATGGGTGACATTTACGGGGGAACACGGAGTGGGGGGACCACACATTTCAACAAAATTGAAATACAGAACAATCATTTAATGCCCAAGCAAACAAGCAACAAGAAATGGGACACGAGTCCGGGCAATTGTATAAAAGATTTCTCTCCAACTACTTGGAACTTTAACTGCGAAAGTTTTCTGCTGTTTTCCCAGCTTTGTTTTGGCTTTTTTCCCTTCTCGCTTCTCTTCCTTTCTTATTCTTTTCATGTTTCTTCGCACTTCCTTGCGTGCGCCCTCACCTCTCATCCGTGCCCCGCGTAGAGCCACTGATTTTCCGGCATTGTGTCATTGTCCAAAATGTTATTATGACCCACAAAAAAACAAACGAAGGAAAAAACCAAAAGGAAAAGTCGCTGGCTATTGTCTCATAAAGGAAATTCCTTAACGGTTTCCAGCTGTGGTTAGGGTGGCGGCAGCGGCGTGCAGAGACTAATGATAATCGGCTTGGTCAACGACCTGTTAGCCCAGCGAATTAATCTCTATAAACGTTGCTACGCATCAGCCCGCATGGCCAAGGCCATCAAAATGCTAACTTTATTTGAAATCAATCAAGAAAAACTTCCAATGGAATTTAAATCTGAAAGTTACAAAATTGTCAATTATGTTTTTTTTTTTTTGGAAAAGTTTTGTCGTTGTTTTTGAAAACTTGTGATTAAAACTTTTAATTGATTTGCAATAAATAACGCCAGTCGCCGAACTGAAACCCAAACTGAAAGTTAAAATGTCACAAAACCAATTTGAGCAGAAAAATAGAACCCAATTTGTGGATCGAAACGAACTTCAGATCTCTAGCAGCAAATAAATGAGCTCCGGACTTCACTCACATGTTCCGTGGCGATGTTGGCGGCGGAGGCACACTAAATAAATATTCGCCAGCTTGCAGATGGACTGTTATATCGGCGGACTTAAATTTACATTTCTTTGGGGTTTATTAAATATTATATAATTTTATTTTTGTAGCTAGGAGGCTAGCAAAAAGCATAAACTGTCACACAAACACACACGCGCGTGTTAGTACTATTGCGAGGACTCTGTCTGGGCGTCTCACAAGCACATTTTCCTACATTTGTTGTTCCTGTGTCTCCTTTCGACCTGACTGACCGAATTTCCAGGCGCTTTTCCGAAGACTTTTCCGACCAAAGGCGACAAGCGTTCAAATACGACTGAAAGCTGCGGCTGAAGCTGAAGCCGAAACAGTGACTGCGACGGAAAAGCGACTGGGCGCCCGAAATGAACACACGAGTGGGGTGGGTGATGGCGAGGGAGAGGGAGAGAGAGCACGAGCAAAAACAGCGCGAATATGCGTGGAAAGCGGGAAAGGCAAGCATAAGAAGAAGCAGCTGACACATATTTCGCTTTGTTTTGGTTGTGACCCCCAGCGATAGTTTGCAAGAGGCAGGGTGGGAAGGGACGTTGGTGTATCCATTAGTAGAGCCGGCATTTCATCTCTGTCCCTCTCTTTCCCCTCTCTTGGCGCCTGCGCCTCACGAGCCTCAAATCCTAGTCTATTCAAAAATAAAACTCAAAATTGTACTTTATACAGTGGCAGTGGAAATAGTGGTTCGGTGGAAATTTCAACAAAGGAAAAGTGTCGGTGCACAGATTGCGATTCGTATTTGATTCTTCTACGTTTCCATTCAATTCTGTAATTCGGTCTCCATTACCCCTGCGTGCGTTCATTCTATCGATTTCCTTCTGACCAATATTCCGATGAACGTTTTTGTTTACGAATTTGTGTACCAGAAGACGCAATAATGAATAAGTGAGTGAGAGAATGAATGAATGAATGCACACACACAAACGCACAAAGCATCGGCTCCTTCCTCCATTTAGGTTGAATGACATTGGGCATAGGCTGGCCTCCCCCCACCCATTTTCTGCATTTCCCGTTAACGTAATGTCCCACGTTGTCCTCAATTCCGAACGGGAATCCCATGGGTGTGTGTGTGTGTGTGATTGTCGTGCATGGCACGTCATCGTTTTCTAATGTAATGCACATTGCACCATGAGATGACGACCTGGGGGCTGGCGACTGTAAATGGACAAATTAACAGCTAGCCTCCTAGTGTGTTTGTGTGTGTGTGTGGGTGGGCTGGGCGGTGTATAACGCTAAGTACGAATGCTGGTCTTCTCTTTTGCTGTATTGTTTTCAATTTTTCGGAAACACAACAGTGCTCCAGTGGACTAGAATCAGTGGACTAGCAATGACTTTGCTACTTGTCAGCAAAATGAAGAGCAAGGACATCTCAGGATCGATCGACTAGGCTTGTCAGCATTTGTTAAAAACTTCTGCTCAAATCCGAAGTAAACTTTTGTCCGAGATCCCAATAGGAAAGGAAAGAGAAAAGAGAAAGGGAATTTCTATTTTTAATATTTAATCACGTTAAGGGTAATATTGTTTAAACAACTTTTCCATGGCCTTTTTGTAGGAAAACAAATTTTATCCGATAATTAAATCAATTTTCTATAAGATTGGCTTGTTTTAATCTGCGTAATTTTATTTCATTAATTTAAGAGAATATTTAAACTAAAGAGTTTGAAAATTCAAAAGTTTTTTATTTTAGCTACATGGCAACTAGAGGTATTCTACATCAAATCTGTGCCCAAAAATATGCTATAGTGCTGTAGCTGTATTTTTCTGGATAGTGTATATATATACAAGCGTAATTTACCTAGAGACAAATAGAATTAACGCCCGAAAGTATTCAATTATCTGTAGCAATCAAAGCTTTAATTTAACCCGTGGATTTTTTGTGCGTTCACAATAATTACACTAAGCAACAGAAAAAACTATGCCATTAAACCACCTCTTTCTGATTGACCTAGTGCTACAAATTTCCTAACAAAATTTTCCCTATAAATATAAAGCTTTTAAATATAAAATTTATAATTGAAAGTATTTTTTTTGATTTAAGCTCTGTAATTCCAACGTGCCGAACGGTACCAAGTATATCAGACAGGTAGGCTTCGTTCCCTTTCCTCTAAACAGATCGATTTTGTTGTATAGTGTTATTTAAACACGCTCACAGATTCTCACACATATGTACAGTGTGTTATGATACCCCCCCTCACCTTTTTCTAGCTTTAAATTGAACGATACCTGGAGCCCGGATGGTACGACTCCGACATTGCATCCACTTCGTAGCGACCCAAGATGAGAGGTTTACACCAAATAAACCAGCCAGTTCTTTAATTTGTTTTTTATTTTTATGCGTGCCGGCCGGATAGGGCAACTCCCCATACCAAGACCCGTAAGGGTACGGATTGGTGTTTCCAGAGATTATACCAGTGGACGTTGGCCTGGAAAAACATTTTTTCCGAAAAAATCAATTCCTAGCGAGCTTTTCTGGGTTTTTAGTCATTATTGTTGACCTTTTACATGATTTCACTGTATTTGTTGATCTAGAGCCCATCGTCGTACCATAATCCACGCCGGTAGGCTTATGGGGGCCCGGCCAGCCTCCAGCCGTTTCGTTTGTGTCGGAGCCCCTTTTGGCATTACCTATCTTCTCATGTATTTGCACGGCCGGCCCACAGGCCCGGGGCCCCCCACGCGGTCTGGGCTCTCACAGGACACGCTCCGCACACACGACATCGATTTTTTTTTTTTGGTTGGCCGGCGGACACGCACCACCTAAATAATTTTCTCTGTTGCTCTCTTTTGTTTGGGTTCATAGGGGGTGTTCCAATCCCAAGTTTTGCTACTCTTGTTCCCTCTGGCGGCAGATCTTTACGCTCACAAGCCGCTATGTCACTCTTCAAAATATGTTTGGGTGCGGGGTGGATTAATTATTTGCTTGTTTTTTCTTTTAAATTAATTTAACTAGCACTACTCATTGACGAGTATCTGGGTGTTCTAGAGCAAGAGAGGAGCAAGTACCGGTCGGTACCAAGCCACACCAGGCCGGGTACACGGACTGCGGGGGGGCCCATCCTTGTATGTATGAATGTATGTATGTACACTTGGCTAAGTAAGCAAATAAACAAACAAAGCGTCGAAAATAGGCGACATAAATGAGTAAGTGTAAACAAACAAACAAAAACAAAATTGAATAAATTATTCAAGAAATAATACATACCGCATTAGATTGAAATGCCACGGACAAGGGCCGTATTAAAGAGCGGCTTGCGGAACTTTGCACATCAGTGAGTGATAGTCGCGCATCGAGAGAGAACAGAAGATCGGGCGACCAGCAACAGATCGTTAGGCAAGGAGGCCTCAACAACAAGAACGATTTACAGAGCGCATCAAAATCAGAAAAAGAGAAACATTAAGCAGCAACAACGATACGGTGCGATTAAAAATGAGCAGCGACGCAGAGGAGAAAGATGCGAAGGTACAAACTACAAACAACTTAAACTTTAGCTGTCTGAACTACTGTCCCTTCCGTTGGCTCTCTCTCTCTCTCACACACTCTCTGTCTTTCCAAGTGCACTGTGAGAAAGGGGAATGTTTGTCGTGTTTTTACCTTAGTCAACGGCTGAAGTGCAGGCGGGAGATCATTGGATATATGTATCTTACTTTATATATATATGTACACGTGTGTATGTATACACCCTAGTTGGGAGCGCGGCAATGAATGGACACCAATCAGACACGACGCGAGAGAGAAAGAAAGAGAGTGAGTGTACTCTCCGCGTTTTTGTTTTTGTTTTCGATAAGCACAAAAAGAACAAGCATGTGTTCACACATGGTATTACTATATTAGGTAAGGCGCGCTCTTCGAGGGACATAAACCCACAGACAATGAGTCTTCTGCGATTTTCGCACTGTACCTTAGCTAATACTTTAAAATTAACAAGTGTGGAAGTAGTGTTTTTTTGTTTGCAAACATGGGAATTCATTTTTTGGTCAATCCGCTAAGAATGCAATTATATTCCTCAAGAAGAGGCCGCTTGCGGAGTTGTGCTTACCTTTTATAGCTATACCATGCCAATCGCTATTAAAGTTCTAAAAAATTATGGATACAGTTTAACCCGTTCGATCAGTAGAGCGCGTTTCGGCAAAGCGAAAGGTTGCCTCGAATTTAAACAGTGCAACCCAATTAGTGGTACGATGAGTGTCAGTGGCAGCGACAAGAGCGTGCGGCGACGCGTCATAACGCCGACCAGTGATCCTCACAACACAGATCCTCTGCTGCAGCAGCGCAATTCGCACCTGTATGAGGTAAGCAACTCAGCTGCGAGTGATCGCCTCCTCGATTAGATTGCCTAATTTCGGGTGGGGCATGGGTAATCTTCCCGCTGATTGGATTGCTCCAACACAAGCATTAAAATAACCGTGAGCCAATCTCCGTGAGCCCGTATCGGCTTTTTCTTCTTCCATTTTTTTTTTCGGACTGTCCTCTGTCCCCCACTAACCCTTTTCCGGTCATTCCTTATCAATGTGCACTAATTAACGAACCGCGTATACGTATACCCTTGAGATATGATACCTTCGGAGCCCTAGTTGAACTCCCCGACTATATCAGACCCCTGTCTGGCCCACTTCCGTGGAACCGCCAGTCGATCTGAGCCCCTGCCAGAAGGAGCAGGCAGCCAGCCGTGTGCTAGCCTATCGAAAACTGTTTTAGGTGGCAACCGGGTCTGGGGGCTTCGCCAACAAGTTGACCAGAGATAAGATAACCGATGATGGATTAAATCTAACATTCGAGTCGGTACACGCATTCCGCCCGCCTGCTACAGCTGTCGTTCGGGGTGTTAATTATTGGCCACTGACTCATGGCCTGTCTATCACGGTATCCCAGTTCCATTGGAACAACAAGAAACTTTAACTATTCTCACTAAAATATATCATAGGAACACAGGTGTTCCTATGGTGGCAGCCATGTGATATGTAAGAGCATAATGCTTGCACCATTGTTTTGCTCTGACTCATAATGCTGAAATATTAAGGTGGGAAGGGATCTCGTTTGCATAGAACCAATAATATAATCTATCTATTTCGAAATGCTATCATTCTGGGAAAAAATTACATACATTATTAGCTAATCATTAACATATGTTTCTTCATCCGATTTTTAGCAGAATAAACCCAATGGCTGTGAGCGTGCCTTCATTGAGTACAACAAGATCAAATGGTTTTGGGCACCGGCATTTTTCGGCTTCTGGCTGCTGCTGTACGTGGCCATCTCCATTCCGGCCTGCCATCACCTGCCACGCCCGCTGACCATCAAGGATGAAGCCAAGTATCCGGATCGCTTCATTGCCGAGCGGGCTGAGCTCAATTTGCAGGCTCTGGTGGCGCTGGGACCCCGCGTCGTGGGCAGCAAGGAGAACGAGATGGGGGCCGTGAAGGTGCTGTCCGGCAGCGTGCAAAAAATCCGTTCGGGACTGGGCTCAGCAAACGACATCGAGGTGGATGTGCAGGTGGCCTCCGGCAGCTACGTGCACTGGTCGATGATTAACATGTACCAGAGCATCCAGAACATTGTGGTCAAGGTCAGTCCCAAGGGAACGAACAGCACCACCTATCTGCTGGTCAACAGCCACTACGATTCGGTGCCGGGTGGCCCTGGCGCCGGCGACGACGGCTCCATGGTAGCCACTATGATGGAGACCCTGAGAGTGTTGGCCCAGTCCAAGCAGGCCCTTAAGCACCCTGTCGTTTTTCTGTTCAACGGAGCCGAGGAGAATCCCCTCCAGGCCTCACACGCCTTCATCACCCAGCACAAGTGGGCCAAGTACTGCAAGTAGGTGATCCATGAATGATTTTTTTCGGTATTCAGCTAATCCCCCCCTCCCACAATTCGTTAGGGCTCTCATCAATCTGGACTCTGCCGGCAACGGAGGTCGGGAGATCCTCTTCCAGTCGGGACCCAACCATCCCTGGCTGATGAAGAGCTACCGTCGCGCCATCAAGCATCCGTACGCCTCCACCATGGCCGAGGAGATGTTCCAGAACAACTTTATACCCTCTGACACGGACTTCCGCATCTTCCGCGACCACGGCTCAGTGCCCGGCCTCGATATGGCTTATCAGTACAACGGCTATGTCTACCACACCCGCTTTGACCGCGCGGAGATCTTCCCCCGCGGCAGCTTCCAGAATACCGGAGATAACCTACTGGCACTGGTGCGGGAGATTGCCAACTCCCAGGAGCTGGAGGATACGTCGGTAAGATGCGCTAAAAGAATACCAGAAAGAACTGGATAACTTCATCGTTGATCTGATCCCTGATCCCTGCAGAAACACGCCGAGGGTCACACCGTCTACTTCGATGTTATGGGCTGGTTCCTGGTCTTCTACACCGAGACGGAGGGCATCATTTTGAACGTGATTGTGTCGCTGGTGGCTATCGGTACCTGTGCCTATGCCTTCAAGCTGATGGCCTCCAACTCGGGCCTTAAGCTGGAGAAGATCCTCAAGCGGGTGCTGCACACCTTCGTGGTGCAGCTCTTTGCGCTGATGGTCGCCGTCGCACTGACCATATTCCTTGGCTGGTTCATGGATCTGGTGCACTTGCCGATGTCCTGGTTCACGCACTCTTGGCTCATCCTCGGCCTCTACTTCTCCACCTTCATCTTTGGCCTGGCCATAGTGCCGGCCCTGTACTTCCACTACACCAAGGAAGTAAGTTGCAAAAAACAAATCCTCAGCATAAACCCAGCATTTAACGTTGATTTTCCTTCTTTTTCAGGATAAACTGCAGATTGGACAGCGCGTCCAGATGCTGCTGCACTGTCATTGCCTCTTCCTGGCCATCTCCACCCTGGTGCTAACCATCTGCGGTGTGCGATCCGTTTTCGTCCTGATGCTGTCCTGTTTGTTCTACACGATGGCTCTCATCATTAATCTGGCCACCAACCTGCACAGCAAAGGTGAGGAATAGTGTCCGCCTTGCGCTCCTTTCTAATCAGCTTCGTTGCTCTTCCGTAGATGTGGCCTGGGTGATTCCACACATCATATGCGGAGTGCCGCCATTTGTGTTCTTTGCCTACTTCTCGCACGGTTTCTTCCTCACCTTCATTCCCATGTTCGGCCGCTTCGGCGAGAATGTAAACCCGGACCTGGTGGTGGCCGTCTTCAGCATTGCCGTGGGTCTCCTCACCTGCGGCTTCATTGTGCCCGTACTGCATCTGTTCCGCAAGTCAAAGACTATTATTTGCGCGCTGCTGGCCATCACCTTAATTTGCGTGATCATTGCCATAACGCCGATGGGATTCCCCTACCGACCGGAGACAAGTGTTCAGCGATTCTCTGTGCTGGTAAGCAAGTCCCCGACGATCTCTTTAGAGTGGGACTTATGCACTTGACTCTCTTTTTGTAGCACGCCAAGCGCACCTTCCATGATGCCGATAATAAAGTGCGCCGCCAGGAAACGGGCTACTTCATCATGCCCCAGGACAGACGTACCTACTCCGTCAAACGTATGTTTGTTGTTGGTTTCTTTTCTATTTTGTCATAGCTCTTCTCATATCCGAATTGCAGATGATGTCATTAACATGACACTGGCCAGAAAAATCGGCGACGATTGCCAGAAGGAGATGATGTGTGGTCTGCCCTTGTACAACCAGCGTTGGCACAAGACCAGGTAAGTCAATGCTTGTCCAGTATTTTTTTTTGCACCGCATCTAACACCGAATTGTGAACCCCAGACAGAACACCTTGTGGATACCTGCCTCCGAACCATTGCTGGGAAGTGTGCCGGCCGTTAAAGTGATTAGCAAGAAGCAGGTGTCTCCCAACAAGATCCGCTATGACCTCCAGTTGAGCGGACCCGATCATATGGCTCTGTTTATTCAGCCCTTGAACGGAGCTATCATGAAGAACTGGTCCTTCCATCAGGTACGGGCTGGGAAATATAGCGACTTGAAACCTCTTACATATATCTTGCATTATTTTAGGCTCCACTGCGACTAAACTTCCAGCCTCCTTACTTTATCTACTTCTCGTGGGGCGTCAATGGAGATCCCCTCAACTTCTGGCTGGAGCTTGAGGTATGTTTTGGATGCAATTCTTGAAACTAGTTTCTGATTCCCTTTTCCCCATTTCCCCAGAAACCCGAGGGAAACTTTAAAACGCCCAACTTTGAGCTGGGTCTGGGCGGTCATTGGACCCATCACAAGGAAATGTTAACGCCGGACTTTAAAAAGTTCCTCGACAGTTTCCCCAAGTATGTGGATGCCACCCCTTGGCCGGCATCCTACGAGACCTGGATCTACTAAAAAGATCTGCCATTAATTGTGTAAAATAAATGTACTTTTAATTAAACACACAACACCTAAATGTTGAACCACATCGAGTGAACTTTGGACTGCAGATACGAGCAGACTGCGGATGACTGATTGGTGTCAGATACGCATGTCAACATACTTACGAGAACTTTTCGTCAGTAATCACTGTATCATGGGAATTAAATTAATTATAATTAACAACCCATCAAATTATAGGAAATGTGCTTCAAGTACATTAGGGAACGGCCTGTCTCGAGAATGTATGCCTGTACATATGAAGGAAAAATTCCCAGTGTACCCCATGAGCACATTGAATTTAGAATACAGAAAGTGTATAGCCAATTCGGTGACTGTCGATTTGAGATTATCACATTTCGTACTAAATCGACTTTTATGACTGCGACGGGGACTAATCAGCAATCGATCTTTAATTTATAATCCATTCGGGTACACGGCCTGTGCCTACGACCACGACGCAACGGAAACCCCTAGAAATCCCCGTCTGAGGATAATTTTGGAATGTCCATTCACCAGCAGTGTGATGCAGTCTCGTGTTACTACTTATAAGTGTGTGTGTGTGATTTACAGACAGATTAGAAACCCTATTTAATAATTCAATATTTAGAATGCTCATTCACATATTAAAAATGTTTATTTATGTGATTATCAGCATGAGTCGGCGATTGATGTTGATGAAGATCTCAGAACGGGATTAGGATAGTAAATCGAATCGATAGCAAACTGCATTAAAATAAGAGCATAAACAAATATAAATTGAAGTTATAGTCCCTTTTGCCGATCCCAGAAATTGCACACTCTGCAGTATATGTGTACTCGTATGTCGGCATCCCACGATCACCCGAAACAAGACCACCAAACGAGTATACATATGTACATATATGTAGGTATGTTATGCTGATACGTGTATGTACTCTGTATACAATCCCCAGCACTTGGATACTCCGCTGCTCGCTCCATTCATAGCCTAAGCCAATCAGTCCCTTTGCACACTTCAAAACGATCGGTTCTTCTTATTTTACGAGTATGTACAAGTATTCATTGCTCAGTACTTCAGTGAGTCTTTAATATCAAAGTTATTTCCTCGAACATGGTACAAATCATAGATAATGTGTTAGCGCTCCCACAGACTCTGAGTCACCACTAAATGAGTAACATAAGTTAATTATTATTGGTGCAACTTTCAATTTTATTTTCCACCTAAGGAATGAGTGAAGTTATAGTTATGCTTATGAGATAGTAGAACCTAACCGTAAAATTGTGAGGTGTCAGGCTTCCGGTTTTGGATTTATGCTTATCGTTGGCAGATTATTTTCCCTTTTGATTCTCCCGTAAATCTCATTGATGTCGTACTTGGACCTCACCTCAAGAACTCTGCTATAACTGTGCTATACTAAGATCTCTGCCGACACGGCAGCGGAGCCCTAATCGGTTTAACTGGCGGCCATCAAGCCATAAAGAGCAATAGCTTCTGACATTTTGAGATCGGTTATCGGCTGTAGGATGTAATCTTTTTATGCCACCAGAACCCCCAAATGATTATTATCGCTGGACGATAAGGGTTCTGCGGCGGCGCCGCCGCAACCATTGAGATCGGACCGGATCGGACCTGGCCCTACTAATACTTGGCACACGCTCCGGTGGGCGTCAGTTGAATTTATATTTCATCCAGTTCAGGTCCAAGTCGCGTGCTAGAAGGTTAGTTGAGACTCCAATCCGGTTGCCACCATAATTCACGGTGAACGGGCAGGGCACATGCCCGAATGATTGCGATCTGAAGGAATTTCAGTTGTGTTTTGAGATTGCAGTCAACCGTTTGTTCCGTTAAAATATAAGACATGCTGTAAAAAATGTGAAAAGAACGTCTGGAGATAAGCATGAAACGCGAGTGAAGGATTCAAGGAGCCCAGCTTTTAAAGTTGAAAAGTGAATGGGATACAGGATATCAGCTCTGAGAGAAAAACCCTTGTCAGTCTTCATTCCTTTCCAAGTATCCAATGGGTGTGAATATCAGTGATATAATGTTCCAAGCAGTTCCAATATACATATATAAATATGTACATACATATGTTTTCTTAACTCAATTCGTTTCATTATCCATGTTGATAAGAAATTTTATATCCGCTGTAAAATGTTATCGGATTCTGTTTTTAGCCCACAAATGGAATTGACCATCTCAGGCCACTGGCATCGTAAAGTTAGGCACTCTTTGGGCTCTTATTATTCCCACGAAGTTTATTCCACCAATAAGAACATGACTTTGATAAAAGTGTACATGTTTTGAAAAGGTTTATGGTGCTAAATCGATGGGAATATTCCTTTCCCCTTCAATTTCAGTATATTCATAGATTAGGGGGCTTAATCGTAGATCGTAAATATGAATTGCTTCGGCTAATCGTAAGTGCCTCAAAGTATGCAACAAATGGAAACTCCTCGAAGATTGAAATGCCCCCAAATATGTTACAGAAGTTTGCAAAAATCCCGGAAGGAATTAGCTAGAAATGACATCATCCTGAGTATCTATATTTTTTGATCGGAATTCGCTCAATTTCAGATGACATTCTCCACGTTTGACATAACCACTGAAAAGGATGTGGGTAAATCCAGGGACAGGAAGTGGCCCTGGTACGGAGCACCCATCTATGCGGCCATCTGCTTTGCACTCTTCTATGTGTCCGTCCTGCCCAGCTTCTACTCGTACCCCGACATGCTGTATCAGCGCGACGAAGCCCAGCACCCAGACGAGTTCATCGGGGAGCGGCCAATGAAGCAGCTGGCAGAGTATGCGGCCATTGGCAACAAGATGAGCGGCTCGATCGCCAATGAAGTGGATACGGTAAATTTTCTGCTTCGAGAGTTGCAGAAGATTGTGGACGGGGCCCGCACCGACCTGTACGACATCGAGGTGGAGATGCAGTACTCCTCGGGCTCCTTCTTCCTATGGGGCATGGCCATGACCTACACAAATCTGTCCAATGTCGTGGTTAAGATCACCCAAAAGAGCCATCCGAACGACAACTATTTGCTGGTCAACTCGCACTACGACTCGGAGGTGGGAACACCGGCGGTTAGTGATGACGGTGTCATGGTGGTCATCATGCTAGAAGCTCTGCGTGTAATCTCACGCTCAGAGAAAACCCTGGCCCATCCTGTCGTCTTCCTGTTCAACGGTGCCGAAGAGGCCTGCATGCTGGGATCACATGGCTTCATTACGCAACACAGATGGGCTTCCCACTGCAAGTAAGTAGAGTAGACAGACGCCTGGCCTCAGTCTCAGCCTCAGCCACAGCACTGACTCCTTCGTATGCACTCAGAGCCCTGATCAACCTGGACTCGGCCGGCGCTGGCGGACGCGAGATTCTCTTCCAAACGGGGCCCAATCACCCGTGGCTCGCCAAATACTACCACCAGAGTGCGCCCCATCCGTATGCGAATTCGATGGCGGAGGAGCTGTTCCAGAACAACTTTATACCCTCGGACACGGACTTTCGCGTCTTTCGCGACTACGGCAATGTGCCCGGTCTGGACATGGCGCATGCCCTGAACGGCTACGTCTACCACACCAAGTACGACAACTTCAAGAACATTGAGAGAGGCACCTACCAATCGACGGGTGAGAATGTGCTGCCCCTCGTTTGGGCGCTGGCCAATGCCCCCGAATTGGATGACACCGCCGCCCACGAAGAGGGCCACACGGTGTTCTACGACTTTGTGGGCTGGTTCATGCTTACCTACACAGAATCTGTGAGCATTGCCATCAACGTGACCGTTTGCCTGATATCGCTGCTGTGCATCGGCATTTCCGTGTACCTAATGACACTGGACAATGGGGCGGATGCGATCAAGGCCGTGTTCCTGCGATTCGGCATTATATTTCTGGTGCAAGTGGGAACGGTATTTGCGGCCTGTGGCCTCACTATTCTCGTGGCTGTGTTCATGCAGGCTGTGGGTCTGTCGGAGTCCTGGTACTACGGACACTGGATGATCTTCGGCCTGTACTTCTGCAGCCTGTTCTTCTTGCTGGGACTGCTGCCCGCCGTCTACATTGGCTGGACGAAGCGTAAGACCAACATGAATCTGGACCAGACCATCGCCTGCTTCATGCACGCACACTGCATTGTGCTGATTGTTTTGTGCATCATCATGACCAGCATGTCCATTCGCTCCGGCTACTTCCCCATGATTGGCATCTTCTTCTACACGATCTCGGTGGTGGTGCAGATTACCCTCAAGCTCTCCCTGAAGAGTAAGTTCTGGACTAACACTAGCAGCCGCCCCTTCAGTGGATTCTAATGGATTCTCCTTTCGTTTAGAGAGCTACTTTGTGACGAGCCACTTGATTTGCCAGGTGCTGCCCTTCATTTACTACACGTACATGTGCTACACGATTCTGACAGTATTTGTGCCCATGCAAGGTCGCGACGGCCCCGACAGCAGTCCCGACGTCCTGCTATCCATCTTCATCATCTATATGTCTGTGCACTTTGCTGGATTCTTGGTAAGTGAGACTTTCGAGAATTGCCATCCAGCGATGCTTAGCCCGAAGCTTGCCCTCTGCAGATTCCCATTATGCACAAGTTCCACAAGTCCAAGATTGTGTTCTCCATCTTTGGAGTATTGACGATCATATTCATTATAATAGCCACGACATCCGCGGGATTCCCCTTCGTCAAGGAGCTGGCACCACAGCGATATTATGTCCTGGTAAGTCAATATCCCCAGAGCCTTGCGACGTGATCCAATCCAATCCAATCGAATCGAATCGCTTGCAGCACACCACGCGAACATTCCACAATGCGGACAATACCGTGAAACAAGATTCCGGGTTCTATATACAGCCCGTGGACACGCGGCTGGGTGAGCTGGATGATACCACATTCAAGAACAGAGAGCCCTCCAGTTGGACGGATGCCAGCTGTGCGGCTGAGCCATTCTGCGGCTTGCCCATCTACAGCGGTCGCTGGATCGACTGGAAGTAAGTTGCAGCTCAGATCGAAGACCCAAGAGGAGGGAGTGGGA